GACGGACCCGGCGCCGGCGACAGGATCGGGGGCCGATCCGGGCCCTCGCTGATGCTCCAGTAGCTGGTGCCCGGCGATCGGACCGGCCCCGCCAGGACCAACGAGCCCGCCTCGCATTCGTCTTGGGCAGCGTGGCCGTTGGAAAGTGCGTCCTCTGCTAAAAAGACACAACCCCATTGGACTCAATTGGGTATATTCATGTTCTCTATTGGGTTGAGGTCAGGGATTTTCGAGAGCAATGTTGAAAAATAAAACTGGTCAGCAGCAAATTTTTATCAAGGATGCACTTTGCTGGCATCTCGAACTCAAGCAACTGTTAAAATGAGTTAAAGTTTGGACTGAGATACGGAGAATTGAAGCCACTGGTGGCCATCTTACGTTGCCACTGACTGAGGTTACCTAACTTGAACATAATGACGTTTCCGGAACGCTTTCAAACTATTTTCTGTCAAAAATGCCACGTGTGGTTGTATGGTGATACTAATAAGCCAAGGCAGAAGCTCTAAATGCTCATTTCATCTGTAAAATTGAAATTTTAAAAAATGTTTCTAATAATGTGTATGTAGGAGTGATGATGATTTATCACTGTGAAATGTGAATCTAACATCTTTCAATCACAATTTACGATACTGAGACACTGCAGTCTGTCAAATTTGCTTTTGCCAGGGATCCTGGTGTAATAAATGCAGTGATAACTGTGTTTTCAGATTTAAAAAAAACATCACTGCTGCCCCCTGTCTCCAGCCGCGAGAGACGATTGGCAGCCCAGGTTAGTATGTAAATCGGGGAGTTGGAGCCTATCCCAGATGACTTGATGGCCATCAGACTAGCTTCACCCTTGTATTGGTTGCCAGTCGGTCACAGGGCACATCTAGACCCACCCAGGCATTTTCAGAGGAGACACTGGTGAGCTGGAGCCCATTACAGTTATTGTTCAGTAAAATGGGATGAGGTCCATCTCACAAGCAACCAAATGAGAGGAGGCTGGATAGAAGATTGAATTGGTGTTCATCCCTATGGGCTCTGCGAATGGCTGGCGCCCAGTCCAGGGTACAGCCCGCCCCCAAATGAAACCCAGCCGGGAGAAACTCTAGCAGCACTTTTGAAAGTGAATTAGTAGTGTTTTCTGAGGCCTTCATGCTAAAGCTAGCTGGTTCGCTGTTTTTTTTTAAGGATGTAATTCCGCCACCGTCCACACGATGGGGTCCGCGCGCGCCTCGGCGCTGTTAAGCCTTTGTTTACAGGAGCCCACACAGACAGAGGGGCCAAGCCGTATTGGTATTGTCCCACTGACAATGGCCGTGGGTTTGACAGCCACGCACGCATGAAAAGCATGACACTGAGTTTCCTTTTTCTTCAACGTCACCTCACCTCCCGAGTCGCTGTGCCCGCGGGCCGCCTCGTCCTCCTCCTCCTCCCCGCGTACGGTTAATGAGAGAGGCTCCGGCTGTGGCCGAGCCCGCTCGGCACCCCGGAGCTCGGTGGCGTCGTCCATCCCGCACTCGCTCCGGTTCCGGGACGTGTCACGCGCGCACGAGCACGTTCGCGACGCGCATCTGGCATCGCACGGAAGCCCCGACGACCGCGCGTGCGTGCGCGCGCGAGCGACACCGTCAACGTAAACCCCTCTGTTGACAAGTTAACTTTTTTTCCTCCCGTGGAAAAGGTGCGACAAATGCTTGAGCGTGGGCCTCCAGTCGCGTATTTTGGAGACTCTTGCTTGTCTTCAGGGTGGGGAGCCGGACGAGGGGCCCCTGGGGCTCCTTAAGGGGCTCCTGGGTAAATTTAAAGAGACAGTACTCGTGTCCACGAGAGCCCAGAGCCGCCGTTGCGTCATCACACGTCCGTCGGGGCGTCCCTTATGATCATCATCATTAGTATTAGTCATAGATGGATGGATGGATACATTTTTATTACTTTTTAAATGCAGGAATAAAAATCAATGCCAGTGTAATCTGAAGGTGTGGAATAAGGTGGAATGAGTTTATACTTTTTTTTTAAAGAAAATGAATATTGCTTATTTATTTGTGATTTTTTTAAGATAGACACAAATATTGTTTTCGGATTGTTTTTTTTATTGTGGATATTTTTACACACTAAGTTTTTACTGTTTTGGCCTGTTTTATAAATTTTTGTCTGCACATTTCAATGTATTTTATTTCACACATTCATTCTAATGTTTTATTCAATTTTCCTCAATATTTACACACACATTTTAAATATCTTCCATTGTACTCTTCAAATTCTTATATTTCACATGCACTTTTCACTTTTCAAACACAATCACTCCTTACGAATGTTTTTATTTTCTCCAGTTTGACCTTTTATTCATTGTATTCTTTTTTTACACGCATCCATCATTTTAGTATTTTTGTTTATTTTTACACACACAAGCATTATTTCATATATTTTATTTTGTTTTTTAGACGCACACCAACGTTTTACTTTTTTTTAGATTTTATTTAATACATGCACACGTTTTAAAATATGTATATTTCATGCACACTACGTACCTTTTATTTTATTCACATTTAACGCACAAGCAAGTTACAATATTATTTTTGACTTACATTTTTAGGCAGTTTCGTTTTCATTCCCTTTATTCATGTTTTAGGCACGCTCCTTTAAACTATTTTTATGATCATGAGTGTTATTATGATTCGATGTTTATGAATAAATGTATTATTCACAGTATAACCCCATCACACCAAACATGTGTAACCACAGCGTGGGTCGGGCCAATATCCGGGTCCTGCCGTGCGTTGTCAAGGCAGCCAGTCCCCGGCTGGCTAGTGGCGGGAGCTAACCGTGCGGTCCTCCCGGAGCTGTCCTCACATAGAGACCGAAAAAGAA